TTGGATTTGAGCTCTAACAAATTGATTTCTCATATACCCTCTTCCCTTTGGAGTCTCAAAGATATCTTGGCAATAGACATGTCCTCCAATGCACTAAGTGGGACAATTTCGCTAGAGGTATCAAACTTAAGAACAATCATATTATTGAACTTGTCACAAAATCAAATTTCAGGAAGCATCCCTACAGCTATGGGTGGCTTGCAAACTTTGATAACGCTATCATTGTCCAAAAACAAATTACAAGGGCATATTCCTGAATCGGTTGGTGGCATGATAAGTTTGGAGTCCATGGATCTTTCTCATAATTATTTGTCTGGTGTGATTCCAAAATCCTTAGAGTTATTAGTCTATCTTCAACATATTAATCTTTCTTATAATTTATTGCATGGAGAAATTCCAAGTGGGGGGCCTTTTCAGAATTTCACTGCTGAATCTTTTATGATGAATAATGATCTTTGTGGGAAGTCCCTATTACAAGTTCACCCATGTAGGAAAGAACACAGGAGCATATCAAATAAAGTGAAGCTATTGATAAAGTGCTCATTGCCTATCGTATGCATGTTTGTCATTTTGGTTGTTTTAGGCATTGTCTTTTTAAAGTGTAAGCGAGATCATATTAATGATTCAACCAACAAGGATTTAATAAATTTTGAGATACCAACTAGGATATCCTATTATGAGCTTTGGCAGGGAACAAATGGATTTGATGAGAGTAACCTTCTTGGCTCTGGAAATTTTGGATGAGTATGCAAAGCAACTCTTCCAAACTCAAAAATAGTTGCTGTAAAAGTATTTAAGTTAGAAATGGAAGACGCATTAAGAAGTTTTGATATTGAGTGTGTTGCCATGTGCAATTTACGCCATCGTAATCTCATTAAGATCATCAATTGTTGTTCAAATGATCATTTCAAATCTCTAATTATGGAATTCATGGCAAATGGGAGTCTTAACAAATGGTTATACTCTCATAACTATTGTTTAAATGTCTTGCAAAGGTTGAACATAATGATTGATGTGGCAGCTGCTTTGGAATACCTTCACCATAGTTCTTCTACACTAGTTGTTCACTGTGATTTGAAACCAAGCAATGTTTTATTAGATGAAGATATGGTGGCTCATCTTAGTGATTTTGGTATTGCTAGAATGTTTGGTGAAGGACAACTAGAAATTTATACCAACACTTTGGCTACAATTGGCTATATGGCACCAGGTAATGGTATAATAATATTTTTTGGACTTATTTATATGCTCTTTTGTTTGTTATGCTTTCTAAAATTTTAGATTATTTTATTACTAAATATTCGTTTGTTAACTATTCAATAGAGTATGGATTGGAAGGAGTTGTTTCTATCAAAGGAGATGTGTATAGTTATGGTATTTTACTAATGGAAATGTTTACAAGGAAGAAGCCAACAGATGAGATGTTTGTTGAAGGATTAAGTTTAAAGCATTGGGTTAGCAAATCAACACCACATTCAATCACCAATATTCTAGATGCCAATTTGCCTCTCAAAGAAAATCAAAATATTGGTAATTTATCACCTTATATGTCATCAGTTTTTGAGCTAGCATTGAATTGTTGCCATGACTTACCTGAGGCACGACTTTCAATGGCTGATGTTGTGGTGTCATTAAAAAAAATCAAGGTTATATTTATGGAAAATGTTAGAGGCACTTCAAGTTGAATAATTGTTAAAACAAATTTTAGCTACTATTCCTTTAACATTTTTTTTAATTTTCTTGGGAATATGTACTCTTATAAAATGGAGTGATGTGTGTTGTAATAATATATGATGTGAAATTTGAAATTTTCTTACTTGATTATATGGGTTTTGGATTTCTTCATGTTGTTTTTTTTTTTACTTTTTAGCATTTTGTTTTCCAATAATAAGAACCAAAATTCCACTCTTATTTTTCATTAGTTATTTGATTTGGGAAGAAACGGTTTTCTAAATAAATCGAAATGAGCACTGCAATTTTCTTTTTCTCCTCTATTATTCTCTAAATAATTATGTATTAGAAATATCTTGTGAGAAGAACTTGAATAACTAAAGTTGCTATCATTAGCTCAATAGAAGATGCTTAAAGAAGAACATATTAACAATTTATTTTGTTTATATATCTGCTTGATTTTCTCAATTATGAATCGAGTGATCCATTAGATACTATCATTTAAACTTTCACTTTGGTTTTCCAATTTTTTTATTTTTAATAAAAAAGAATCAGTACTTTATCATTCAATCAAACTGTTGAGAAGTTTTTTGAAAAAAAAAATCAATATCTTTTGTATGTCTTTAAAATAAATTGCACATTAATTCAAATATTCCAATATGGAAGAGTATTTACACAGGATATGTATGTAATTAAAAAAAAAATCTGTACGATAATTAAAATATATACAATGGAAGAATAATATCAAATAATATCAGCTTATAAAGAATAATGTCATATAATTTCAGTCTATGCTACTCTCTGCAAGCTGGAGAATGTATGTCATGCATACCCAACTTGGACAAATAAAATAAATCAGTAAAAAAGAACAAAAAAAAGTATGAAACTCAAATATATTTTTTCTTATCTTAAAATAATGGTAAAGAATGTTGAAATAACTACAAATTTGATGTATGAAAAAAAAAAGTACTAATAAGTAAAGGAGCAATATCAAACCTCTCGATATAATAAGAAATTAATTATTGCTCCTTTATGTTCAAAAACTCATATACATTATATAAAACATTGAAAGGTGCAACACCAAGAGGCTTAGTATAGATGCCAACCTACGTGCATTCTTTGACATTCCATAACACACTGAAGTTGATAGGAGAAACTTTTCCAAAAAAGGAGGTCATACCAATAGGCTTGGGTCTAACAAAAGGATCGAGCTAGTTTTTCATAGCATGACAAACTAAGATTTAAATCTTCACTGGCAGAAATGCTTGTATTTAGTGTCTTATTGGCGACCATACCCCAAACAAATTACGTCCAATAAAGAGATATTTGTGAGTAATAAGAAAAGGATGTCATCCTGAAATAGAAGATGGGAAATATTACTCCCTTTTCAACCTATCCGCAAATATGCAAGTGACATTAATGCCTAATTGCCTATGGTCACTCAGTATTACTCATGGCAAAATGCAAAGTAAAAGAAAATGATAAATAAAAAATTTATTGTGATAACCCAACTTAAAAAAGATTTAAATTAAATTATAGTAAAATATAATAAAATTAATAGGAGTAAAGTTAAATATAATTATAATAAAGTAGAATTAAAAAGATTCAAATTTGAAATGCTATAAAATCATCTTATCAAATCTTTTAGATATTCATCCCGCAACTGATAGGATTTCATATATGTCAATGTAATAATCTTGAAATAGGTTAAAAAATTAAAAAAGAATCAACAATAAAATAGATTTTATCAATATTTATGTATATATTAAAAATAATTAATAGAAAACCCTAACCTTATAACTTTCCGCTCCTATAGTTTCGATTGCCGCCACACCCATTCATGAGCTCAATCACATTAGAAAGTCTTCATTTAACTCTTTTGTAGTTCGGGCCACACCATTGTCGTAGCATTGTTCTTTATGATTTGGCGGTTTTTTTGGTTGAAGCCTTCAACAAAAAAATTGACTCCTCTATCTTTTAATTTACTACTATATAAGGTAACTCTCAAACTCAACTTTAGAATTACATTTGGAAAGATCTAGGTTTAGGTTAACGACCATATTAGGAAAATTATATTTAGGGTTATTTTTTGTAATTACACTTAAAGACCCAAAACTCTTAAAAATTACACTTTAACCTCAATTGAGCGTGATATTACAAGGTTAACCTTCACTCTTGTTTATTTTTAAATCAAGGTACTTATTTATTCTCTCATTATATTTAATTACATATAATTAACTTTGAACATTAATAGTTACTATTTGGCTTTGGATAAGCTATTACTCTTGCTTGTTTTTCTTCTCTTTCCTTTCTTAGCCTAGTTAGCAGTTGAGCTATCTAAGAAAAAAAAAATCAAAGATACTCTCTTTGTAATAGTTAGCCAAATTTAAGAGGTCTTGGTATTTTAAACTCATCCTAGACCATCGTCTTCCTAGAGAACTGTCGCATATGATGTGGCTCAGTAACTTTTTGCCAAGTCTATTATGACCATGAGATCTACTCGCGAACTTGAGATCTAACTGCGATCTCATTGAGCCCTTTTTGGATCTACTATGATCCGTAGAATCTAACTGTAATTCTTCTCTAGAAGACTTAGGACATAAGGATAAAGTTGTCAAATAACACCACTTCTATTTAATCCAGCAACTTTATTGATTATTTTTCAAGACTAATCTTAGATATCTTTATTGCCCTCTTGGACCTTATTTATTTCTTTTTAGCCTATCCTAGATATTTTTGGACTTCAACTTGCTAATTTTTTAGTTCCGAACACTTCCTTGAAGTCTGTAAAAATATTACGCTTTTGCCCAAGAAAGACTTTAAATTTATCATGTGGTCCTTAAGAATCATTCTTTTTTTCAAGTCACTTTAAGGACTTTTGATTACTTGGGCTTAGTAGCTTACTGAATCTTGGCATATTCTTGAGCTTCTAAGTCTAAAATTCAGAATGTTACAGTCACCCATAACAGATTTGTACCCAAAAGAAGCATATTGATTGCCATTTGTTGGTGGTTTCATTGAATCTTTTAACGCTTGAGATTAGAAATCAAAAATAGTATAGAAACAAACTTATAAATCAGAAAGTGGGGCTCATATTTATGAAAATGGGCACTGCACGCTGAAGAATGGCAGTCACAGTTGCTTTGATTGTTCTTAACTTTTTCCCCAAAACAATGAATAAATGGACCCATTACGTTTCAAAGATGCAAAGTAATATGGCTTAATTGTTTTACGTAAACTATAAAACATATAAAAATACAATTAAAATGAGATAGAAATAATAATAAAAATATGTGTTCTCATTCGGTGCTCATCAGCTCATCAGAGTGATGAGCACCGAGAGCTCAGCGGACAAAATGGTGAGTTTCAATAAGTGGAAAGATCCTAACTGTTGGTATAGATTAATGATTACCGTTCGATCATCCAGAATTCTTTCTTCCATCGGTTGGGTGGGATTTTGTTTCCTTTCTCCAAATTTTCCCGTGAAACTTCAGAGACGAACAGAGATGGACAACACAATCCAAAACACAAAAACAGAGCAAGAAAATGGAAGAAACTGCATTGAAACAGGGCAAGATGATGAAAGAAATTGCATCGAAATAGAGGAGGAAGAAGGAATAGAAGGATTGATGCAAGCTAGAGAAGAGGAGGAAGGAAGAAATGGATCGCTGCAACCTCAACAAGAGAAGGAAGGACAAAGACGGTGGGTACAATAAAACTAATACACTAGCTATATGATACACACACAAACACCCATTGAAAAGCTGAAACTTTATCAAAAAAAACACAGTTAAAACCTGCAGTGAATGTGTATATATACACGCTAGCAATATGCATGTATGTATATAAATATACACGTTGACATTGCTATATATATGGACACACGCATGTATAAAACTTGATATTTCACACACATGTATATATAAGATGAACGGAGTTAATTAAAAAAGTTGAGATTATAATTTTATGTTTTATGAATTTTTCTTAAAAAATTGAATATTTGATATAATTTAAATAGAGTTGATTTTATTTTGTATAGGGACTTTATGATGGAGGATGAATTGAAACCCAAAATAGGAAGGGAGTTTGGAAGTTGGGAAGAGGCATGGGAATTTTGGCAAGAATATGCTAAAAACACTGGGTTTGAACCTAGAAAGTATAATGGTACAAATAGCAGAAAAGATGGTTCACTTATTACATATCGATATGTATGTTGTAAGGAAGGTTGTCGGAAAGAAGGTAAAAAGGAGACATATTCTTCCAAGTATCGGGCAGAGACAAGGACTAACTGTAAGGCAAGAATGATAGTGTCTTTTATTGATCAAAAGTATAAAATCACTAAATTTGATGAAGAGCATAATCATCCCTTGCACACACCAGCAACAAGGCACTTCTTAGCCTCTCAAAGAAATTTATCAGAAGTTGATGCTTATGGGATTGATTTGGCAAGAAAGTCTGGGCTCCAACAAAAAGCTACGTTTGACTTAATGAGTACATATGCTGAGGTAAATCAAGTCTTGGATATACTCGAGTAGATATGCAAAACTATTTGCAAAAAGAAAAGCAAAGAAGTATGAAGTATGGAGAGGTAAGGTGTCTATTTGAATATTTTCAAAAACAACTTGCAGCAAATCCTGCATTCTACCATAAATATCAGGTGGACACAGAAGAACAAATCACCAATGTGTTTTGGGCAGATGCTGGAATGCTAATAGACTATGCACTTTTTGGTGAGGTCGTATCTCTAGACACAACATATTGCACAAATTGTGATCATCGACCTCTTGCAATCTTTTCTGGCTTTAATCATTATAGAAGTGCAGTCATTTTTGGAGTAGCATTATTGTATGATGAGACCACTATGTCTTTCAAGTGGCTATTAGAAACTTTCTTAGATGCTCATATGCAAAAGAAGCCTGAAACTGTGTTTACAGATCAAGATCAAGCTATGGCAAGAGCTTTAAGTGAAATTCTTCCTGACACAAAGCATTGTCTGTGTACTTGGCATTTAAAGCAAAATGGCATCAAATACTTGGGAAATTTAATGAAAGATGGATCACATTTTTTAACTGATTTCTGTAAATGCATGTCTAAAATTTCAGAAGAAGACAAGTTTGAAGACGCATGGAGCCAATTAATCTCTTCTTATGATGTCCATGAGAATACATGGTTGATATCCATGTATAAGATTAAAGAGAAATGGGCTTGGTGCTCTGTAAAAAATCATCGTACTCTAGGTATGAGAAGTACACAGCTTAGTGAAAGTGTGAATGCTGATGTAAAGAGATGCACAACACCGGGCTTAGCTATAAATGAATTCTTTACCACTTTTGACAAAGTTGTTGCAGAGAAGCGAGACAAGGAATTGAAGCTTGAGTTTGATTCTCGACAACAAATATTGCGCCAACTTGTGCTAACTTATACCCCCGATGCCTTTGACATGTTCCAAGCACAATGGATCTCCAATTCTCTGTGATGTTGTCTAATCGTGATGAGGAAGGACCATCGTATGTATACACTGCTCATATGATTGATGAAGAAGGAGAATGGAGAGTTGAGTTTAAACCCGAGACATATGAAATTTGTTGCACTTGTCGGATGTTTGAGACTACTGGGATATTATGTTGTCATGCATTGAAAGTATATGAGTCGAAGGATGTGAGAATTATGCCCAAGCAATACATTATCAAGAGATGGACTAGAGAAGCAAGGAGTGATGTTGTATATGATATTGGAGGGAGTGAGATACAAGTAGACCCAAGGCTTGAAATCACATAAAGGTATAGACAATTAATGCATAAAATGGGAAGATTGGCAAAAAAGGCAGCCAAGAATGTTGAAAGTTTTGAGCATGTTTAGAGATGCATCATTGAATTGGAAAAAGAAATTTCAGATAGTAATGAAGATGCTACTCATGAGCCAAGTAGATCACCAGTCATAGACTTTGAAAATATGCCTAAAGGGTTCAAAAAGAGAGAAGGAAGAAAAAGAAAGCGACGTTATAAACCTTAGGAGGAAAAAAATTTAATGATCAGAAGACGACTTATAAAAGACCAAGAGGTATTGAGTTTTTTATTTAAATTGCATTTAATACAAAAATTTGTTACTAATTTTATATTTTTCTTGCGTAGGGAATCAAGAGGCTCCATTCTATAAGAAAAGAAGAAAAGATTCAAAAAACAAATTTACAAAGACACAAGCTGTAACCATTCCAGCAGAACTTATACAGACTCAAGAATCAACATTTCCATATTCAACTCAATATGTTTTTGCACCATCTACATCCGAACTATTGTCATTTACAAGCTTGTTGACAGTAAATAAGTTAATACTAATAATTATGTACAGTTATCATATCATCAACTCACAACCATTATCATTTGGAATTTAGGAGCCTGAAGAAAATGCAATCCCATCTCTTGAAGCCATAGAGATTATAGCAGCAAATTATTCACAAGGTATACACTAGAAGAGTAGATGGAATAATCTTTCATTCATTTCAAAGTTTTTGTACATTTGCTACTTGTATACATAGATTGTCTTATCACATATGGACATCACATTACATAAACCTAACTAGCTACAATTTCTTCTTCATACAGGACATTAAAATAGATGCAAGATAGGTTGCTGGCCATTTTTTTGGATTCACAAGCATTACACAATTTTTTGGACATTATGGTATATCCCCATCTCCTCTTTTGGAGCACATGACTTCATAGTATGATTCTTTTTGTTGGATGGCACTTGCTTTGCTTTATTGGACAACAATCATCTGCCCCTACCAGCATTTAGTAGCAAATTAATCTCCATCCATCATTGGACAGCTTTCAGCCTTCCTCTTGTTTTTTGTCAATCTATGTTTGTAAATGTCCATTCAGCCTTCCTTTTGTTTTTGTCAGTCTATTGTTCCTGTAAATGAAATATTTACTAAGGGTAAGAACTATATTCAGTCGACATATCTACAAATGCTAAGAGTTTTAATTGATTACATGGATAGATGCCTTATTAAGGTTCTAAAGACCAAACTCTTTAATCTTTATTTTTTTTTTGGAGCAAAAATAGCAAGCCAAAGGCTTAAAAGCTTACAAAAGGTAAAGCCTAATTAACTATAGATCTATTGTCTTGTAATGCCGCACAACAACCAATAGGTACATCATTGATAAAAGTTACCAAACTCCTTCATTTAACATGAGTTGGGAAGAGCAAAATCAAGGAGGATTGGAACAGATTTTTGTGCATCCATGTCAACATGTTATATTATTATACTTGCAATGAGTCCAGTTTGTGGGAAGAGCATGGAGAGCTAGCTGGACGTCTGGGTTATTCATATAGGCTTCCATGTAGTAATTAGAGCATGGATCATAATTGTACAGCCGAAATTATCAATACATTAATTGAAAAGACAGTCTCATCAGATTGAGAAGATATTGCTAACAAAATGACTACAGGAAGACTTGCAAAACCAGGTGGACCATTTATGAGTGAGGTGTCAGGTGAACCAGGAAAACTTATATTATCAATAATTGAATGGGTTTCATATGAGCTTAGAGCATAAGTCCATAAGTAATTGAATATTCCCTCTGAACTTGTTTCATCATCAATCCAAGCATTCCCTATTTGAGATTTCATCAAAAATATGTCAAATTATATAAAATTTCATAGTAATTAAGTGTGTTGCAGCAAGCAAATTAAAGGGCATTGTTGTTAAAGGATGGACGTACAGCAATGCCTTTAAGGTTGATAATGGTTTGTCCAGAGAAAATATTTTGGACCAAAATGGTGTAAGCAAGTTGAGGCAGATAATGACCAGCGTAGCTCTCTCCAATGATCAAGAAATCTCTGAATTTGTATTGTGGAAATCTCTCAAGCCAATTGATGAGGAACACATAGGCATCTTTTGCTGTAAACTTATCTCCTGCTTGATCATAATCAGACGAAGTGTTTAAGTAGGAAAAGCCCACTCCAACTAGTGATTCCAAGAACAACACATTAGCCACTGCATGTATTCATCAACACCAGAATTGCAACCATCCAATGAGCACAAAGGCAAGTAAGACTGTATTAAGATCACACAAAGTATGCTACATGTTATAGAATTAACATGTTATAAATTGAAAATCAACATGTTCATTATATTCTTACAATCACAGAATTTTGTAGAATTAACAAAAATCACAATAGCATAAATCATATTTTTTTCTTTTTGGAGGGGGAAAAAGATTACTCGAAAACATAGTTGCTAGATTAAAAAACTTAGAAAAGGATCTAAAAAAACATTCCCTACAATCTTCAATTTCCATTCTCCAATTGGGAAATTGCATCTGGGCTTGTTCACTTCATGTTGTCAATTAAAGGAACTAATAAATTGAATATGTGTATGAACATAGATGCTGAGAGTTGAATATGCGTATTCTAAGTTAAGTAAGCCTTATGTATGATCAAACCTCTTCAACCTTCAAAATTCGCAAATCACGGAGGGTTACCGTCTTGCCGATGCTACCACTGCAAGTCTCTGGTCTGAACGCTCTTTGCTGTCCTGCTGGTGCTGTCGCAGGTCTGGTGCAAATGCCCTGAAAGCTTTCAAGTTGGGGAGGAAAAAGCCTGGTGCGCGCGCTTTGAATGATTTTGATTTTGGGAGGAAGAAGCCTGGGGCGAGCGATCTGAACGGAAACGATTTGGGGAGGAAGAGGAATACGTGCGGTGCGAAATCTTGAGTCCGAAATGCAAATGATTTGGGGAGCAAGAGGAATAAAAAATTAAAAAGAATATTAAATATTAATTATAAAAGGACGGTTGAGATTATGTAAAAATCAGCGGCTTAAATCTTTCCACTTATTGAAACTCACCGTTTTGTCCGCTGAGCTCTTGGTGCTCATCACTCTGATGAGCACCGAATGAGAACGCTAAAAATACTTAGAAACAGGGGTAAAGCTACAAACCTTAGTAAACCATTTGTACAATGTAGCAACATTGTTGGTTAAGATTGCATTCAAAGTGCACTTGCAGGACACGAATGAGGGACGGACAACAAACTAGACTTGAGCAGCGGACAGAACTGGTAATACAAGCTAACGGCCATGGCTAGAATCAGACTAGAAATTATTAGCGGACAAATGGTGGCCTGGAACAGATCATCAGAGAACATTTCATTGTCCATTACGAGATGAAGAGCACATCAATAGAGGAGAGCCACATTGGGTATAGTGATTGAGATTAATCTCCTTCGTTGATCGATTATATAAACTTCTGAAAAAGAAACAAAGCAAAACCATTACCATTTTCCTTCAATATGCAGGAGTTCTTGGAGAAAGAATGAATGCAAGATTCCGATCAATCGAGAATATCTCTTTCAGGAAGAAAAACTGTTTAGTGAATTAGCATCAACGTAGAGTTGCAAATCACAAAGCTCGAGCATGGCTTGCTACTTGGGCATTGAAGGATTGAGAGAAGATGAGATGGTGTTGCCAGGGATAAATATTTGAGTAAATTTAAAATTTGAATTTTAAAAGGACTAAGAGAGTGGACAGGCATCTAGAAGACACGGACGATACTGATACGAGAGAGAGTAATCAATGAACCCTTAAAAAAAATTGAAAATTAACCAAGTGGCGATGGCCAACATAACAAAGGGATTAGCGAAAAAGCACAAACGAAGGTACACAGCGTGAACACAATGCCTTCTTTAGGTGTGAATGCACAATGAGTTATGAGGCTTAAACAGATGGTAAAATGGATTTGTGACCACTCACATTTACCATAAAATTGAAGTCGACCAATGAGAAAAATAAAAATGATGGCCAATCAAACGCGTGCTACATTCTTGGAATAAAGAAGTTGATGGAAGAATTAGCTTGGAGAGCAAAATGTGTGGATTCACGAAGGAGAATGGAAGTAGGCAGAAGGAGCAGTGAATGTTTTCGACAAAAAGTATGATTGATTAAAAATCGAGGGTGGTAGCCGAGGAGTCAATAATTCATGCACCCGCTGCCGAATATAATTTGACCCACCAAGCAAACGAAATCTAATTGCCAGTGGCCACGTATTGATCACTAATTAGCAAACATTATCGCGAGGAAAGTAATTAGATTTAATAGATATATTTAACAGAGATAAAATTAAAAATTTATTAAATTTTTAAATAAAGTTAATGAGATTTAAGAATTTTCTTGGTTTCAGTAAAAATGTTGGAAGTGATTTATAAATAGGAAGAGAAGGAGTATAAATTATTGTCAACTTCGTAGCTCTTTAATTGTTAATAATTTTACTGTGCAATTATAGAAGTGCCCTTATTTTATTTTATTTTTAATAAGTTACTCCACCTCTTCCTTCATCCCTCTCGCGCTATGAATTTTCCATGAATGCTAACACACACAAGAAAAAAAAAAAAAAAAAAGAACCCAAAAAAGTGGCTTCCGAGAATGAACAAAGGCGCGCGGAAGCCGAAATGCAAAGGCCAAAATCACATCTTCTGTTCCATTAATCCTTGCCTCATACTTCAAGTCCATATACTATCAATAAACATTTATTTCATATTTTTTTTATCATAGTTATTTGAAGGAACTTAGAATTTAATTCTTGAATGAGTTGAATACATCTTACAAGATAACAGTAATAAATTTGGCAAAAATAATTAATCCAAATTTGAAAAGATAACAGTAATAAATTTAAATTAAATTATAATTTCATATATTCCTTGATATGAAAAAAATTAATTATAATTATTTCATTAAAAAAATTTATCTTTCAAACATAAAACAGATGAATTAAAATTTTAATAATAGACAAAGATATATAAATAACTATAGAAAATCAATTACATATTACATTATAGGAATTGAATGAAAATTTTAATATAACTAAAAAAAAGGCTAGTTCAACCATATTTTGGGCTCAAAATAGAGGGAATTAATGTGATAGAATGTTTCACAATAAATGCGGGAAGACTTCCTATTTTGGAATCAATTAGGAATCAATTAATCATTAATTCTTTATTTTTGATCAACTCTCATTAAACAGAAATATATCAAATATCCAATCATTGCCAGATTTCCATGAATGGGTGAGTAATTTCTAACGGTGTCTTATTGTAAAATTGAGTGGCACTTGATTTGTATATATGGAATCACGTGAACGGGGACCTCCAACGCTTTGCCCAGGGAATCCGAAGACCAAAACCGTGTTTGTTGGGTTCACGTGCAAAAGAGAAGGCCAGCTTCATCTAACACGTGTTACAGGCTCATTGAAAAGGTTGCATTATACCAATGAAATGTTACTCTTTCTTGACTCATTTGTATTGTTAGTTACTACTCCTTCCATCCCAAATTATAAGATATTTTTAAAAAAATCGACATTCCAAAATATAAGATACTTTGATAAAAATTAGGTCTCATTAATGACGCTTTTTAATATTACCCTTCTCATATATTCTCTTTTTTTCAATATTCTTTCATCAATGGAGTATTAAATGAAAGTATTTTTGAAAATTTATATTTTGTGTAAAAAACTAAGGTTGTAAAGTGTATTTAATAAGCTTTATTGATATGTGAGATTTTGTTCAAAAGAGTTTTATAATTTGCAACAGAGGGAGTACTATGAAAGTAAAATTGTAGAAAGTAATGGCGGTAACAACATTAATTATTTTCAGGCCAAAAAAACATGTTAATTATTAATTTATGTAGAAGCTTCTTTTTTTTTTTGGCTGTCCAAGATATCCCTATAAAGCGCAATTATGAGATTAATCTTTTAAAAAATCTAAGCATCATTTAAAGGATTGTTTTCTCATGTAATACTTTTTTGTACACATTTTCAAGAATCAACCCTTCAATAATGTTTAAGGGGTCCACGCACTTGGTAATATAGCAGATTTTTTAATCAGATATTTTTTCATAAAATGATTTCATAATCTAGTAAAATGATTGCTTACCTTATTATTTTAGTCTTATATTAATTATGTAATATTTTATAGTTGGAAAAAATCATATGCTCTCTAAATTTCACTCCAATTTTATTGTTTGTCAAAATAACCGTGATGAAATTGTGAATTAAGGAATAAACAATTGATACAGACATGAAATAAATAATACAGTGAACTGAAGTAGATGGTATATCTTAATTTTTTAATTGCTTTTTATTCAATATAAAAAATACCATGATGACCTCAAAATCCAAATTAAGTTAATGAAGAACCAACAAAATATACTTTTTTATAGAGTCACTTCTCTAGTTCTCTATGGCGTCAAGTGAGGTTTCATAACCATCAGGAGATGGTCTTTGGCAAACGCATACATTGCACTTCATGAACACGAGTGTCACTGGAGGCATTTCAAAGCACTACGAATAAACCAAAAAAAAAAAAAAGGTGCTACATGAACATAAGTTTTTTCGTAGTGTCCCTTTCCATGTCTCAAGTATATGAAGCCTTTAATTTAGATGTTTTATTCTTTTTATATTTATTATTCATTTTAATCATGAAAGCATTATACACAAAAACAGTGTTCTTAGCCCCAAGAAAAAAAAAAGAACACTTATTTGGGCTTCGGCCCAAAAATTATTTTCGTTTATCTTTAGTTTAAAACATAGTTTTTATTAGATCATCGCTTTACTGCCATTCCTATATTCACTCTTATGTGACATAATTAATATTTCACTTTTTTTCTAAGTAAGAAAAAATATTAATTAATTTGAGTAATTAAATATTGAATAAGTTTTTTATTATAATGTTGCAATAGTTGATAATAATCAATCATCGATCAATTGTTTGGTGCTATAAAATACATTGGAGGCGCTAATTCATCATATTCATTGATGATAGCAATAATTATTGATTCAGGTAATTTGACACAACCAAAAAATATAACTTAATCCGTGCAGTTGCATGGAATTTAATTATGAAAATAACACAAAATTTAAAAATTTAAATTAATTGATCAAAATTAATTTACAATAATATCAAAATAAATTAATAATAATAAAACTATAACACTTGCATATTCTAAGTTTACATAATACATTAATCATCATTTGCAATTGAAATTGTCTGATAAAGTCAAATAACTGCATATTGTTTTATAAACTTTTTTGTCTCTCTTCATTTTCTCAATGTTCTTGTTCCTGAAAATCCAAAATACAAACATTTCTATTTGAGAATAAAATCTAATATTGTTTTGTCAAAACGTTTGGATCAATGAAGATTTGGATTTGAATTTAGTCCAAATCTCTGTTTGGATACATAAAAGTTTATAAATTTAGATTAGGTTCAAGTCTTAATCCATTTCTCATTACAATTTCTTTTAAATTTCAAATTTCCTCTATACTTACTTTGGTTTTAAAATTCTAATCACTTCAATCAACCCAAACAATACCGAAATGAATTTTAAAATGTGTTCAATATTAACAAGATTTCACACTAATAATAATCCCTGTCATGACAAAAAAATTTTAATTTATCCATTATCTGGTAAAAAAATTATGCTATGTCTTGGGCCAAGGGGCGATGGAGTTCTAGAGGCTACTATTTACAGTAGGTCTCATAAATATTTTTAAAATTAAAGTACAAATATTAATTTAGTCAATTATAAAGAAAAATCCCAATTGCAAACTAAGAATTATTTAAAATTTATACATCTTATTTGTAAGTGAAACTCTTAAAAATTTACAATTCTTTGAGTTATGATTTGTAACTTAATTTTCAGAAAAAAAAATTG